TATATATATATATATATATATATATATATAGAGAGAGAGAGAGAGAGAGAGAGAGAGAGAGAGAGAGAGAGAGAGAGAGAGAGGGGGGTGGTTTCGGTCGCTCGCCCCCAGATCTTTCAAGTTGCGACAAAACCTTTCTTTTTTAAGCACATATGCGATATTTGGCAAGTTGGCGCCGCCACACGCATGCATGCATGGTCGTTAGAATAGTTATACACACAAATATCTACAGTACGTACCAAATACGTACGGACCAGTTACTACACTAATTAATTGTGGTCCAAAGCAGCAAGATTTTATAAGAGTACAGGTCAGCTAGCAATTCATGCACAGTACCTTCTCTAGACTATATGAGACACACCAACAGAATGATTGACTTCTTATTCAGTTGCTTAAGAGTGGGCAATGGTTAATTAACATCCTAATCCCGTTTAGGTACGTGATTAGTACTTACTATCATATATATCGCCGATCAATCGCGCCCGGCCATCGCTGTCGATCGGTAGCTGAGGCCTTTGGAGTGGAGATACATTGTCATACAATTAGGATTTCACCGAATCTAATGATGTCATGTCACGCAAATGATGGATCAAACTAGACTAATAATATATAATCCCGGAAAGGCACTGCTCCACCACTGTTAATTTTTTATTAACAAGAAAGGTGGTGTCACGCAACCTTTTGCTTTATTATGTAGCTTCCTTGGCGTACTATATATGTGGAAGTTTGTTGCCATATGCACGGTTTGTGTAGATATATTTTGCTATAAGAAGAAGTACGTACATATATATATGTGTGCTAGTCAAAAATCATTCTCCAACTTTACTTAATTATACTATTCTATGGGGACATGTATTTGAATTATATTAATTAAGCACGCAGCCATGTATAATCAGGTTACCTTCAAGAGAGAAAAGTTAGTTGCCTGTTACAGAAACCATTGTGCTAACTGATGTCGCCTGGTCCAGTGTTCTTAATTCATCGAGTGCGCTGCTCTTGGTCGTCAGCTATCAAGCTCATACTACTCGCCACTAATATTTCAATGCACCCCAAATTGAATCCGCTAACCACCAGTCAATGCATGCCTTTGTTAATACACTTGTATGCATGTGGCAGATCGGCGCCATTAAATTGCACGCGAACACGAGATGGGTGTCCTACAGATTTTAGTGCTGCTACAGTGAAAGTGTCTGAAACGGTTAGGACTAAACGACGTGGAAATTTCTGGTCTCTCTATATGTGTTACGTGTATGAGTTCCTTGCTGAAGAAAGCTAGTACTATTGATACACATATTGAATAATAACGTGTCACTCCATGCATGTCTCCCTCCATCCACCCGAGAATATAGCCAACTTGTCTAAAGCTAGATACACCTTGTCTAAAGAACAAAAGGTTGCCTTTTGTAATTTTTTACAGGTGGTCAAGTTTCGAGATGGCTACGCTTCGAACATATCAAGATGTGTTAATGCTGATGGAAGCAAGGTACAAGGCCTAAAAACACATGATTGTCATATTCTTTTGCAAAGAATCTTACCTGTTGCTTTAAGAGGCTTTGTTGACAAGGATATATATGAAGCAATAGCTGAGTTGGGAAACTTTTTTAGGCAATTGTGTAGCAAAACTCTAAACAAGGATTTGTTAGCTCAAATGAATGAAGAAATCCCTGTATTATTGTGCAAGCTTGAGAAAATTTCCCCCCCAGCTCTTTTTTGATGTGATGATGCACCTTCCTGTACATTTACCTGAGGAGGCGTTGCTCTGAGGTATTGTGCAGTATGGGTGGATGTACCCAGTTGAAAGGCGGTTGTACACTTTAAAGTGCTATGTGAGGAATAGGGCAAGACCAGAAGGTTCCATTGTAGAGGCATATATTGCAGATGAATGCCTAACATTTTGCTCCACGTACATGGACGATGTTGAAACAAGATTTAATAGAGAACCGGGAAATGTTGGTTTTTCTAATGAAAAAGCCTATGGTGCAGATGTGTTTGGGCATGGAGTGAGGTTTACTTCTGCAGCAGAAATAGTATATGATGATGGTGGATTAGATCAAATGGTGGGGTATGTGCTGAACAACTGTAGTCAAGTTGAGGAATATATCAAGTATGTTATCACTTATGTATTGTGCTATATGCTCCCTTCCTCTTGTTCATATGGGCACTTTTTTGACACTTTTTTTGTTTTTACAGAATGTTCAGGGATGAATTAGAGAGGGAAGGGTGTGTAACATTGAGAAAAACACTTCGACAAGGATTCCAGACATGGTTCAGGAACCTGGTTATATTCCATTCAACATCTTTTACAAATTATTATCAACATTGTACTATGCATTCTAATGTTTATTGTTCTATGTGGTGTGCCAGATGCTGAGAAAGAATACAGATGAAGAAATGGTAGATGGTGACATCTTTTCCTTGGCATGTGGTCCTGATTTAAGAATCAAGAAATACAAGTCATGTATAGTTAATGGGGTGCGGTTTAACAATATTGACCGTGATACGAATAAGAAGTCTCAGAATAGTGGTGTAATGTCACTAGGCAGACATAACTCTGAGCTCATCGAGTTTTATGAAAACATAAAAGAGATCATCCAGTTAGATTATAATGGTGATGATAGGTCAGTGGTCTTGTTCAAATGTGATTGGTAGAAACTGAATGGGAAGAATGCTCAGAAAGATGATGGGTTCTTTAAAAGCATCAATATTGGAAGTCTATGGTACAAAGGTGATTCTTTAATTCTAGCTACTCAGGATAGAAATGTGTTCTATTTGCCAGATACAAATTTTGGTAACAATTGGCAAGTTGTCCAAACATTTGACCATAGACATCTATACAATGTCAGTGAAACTTCTGTACCATTTAGTGGTCCTGCATATCAAGAGGAAGATTGCTGTGATGAAGAGGAGGGTATTAGGCGAATAGTAGTTGATGAGCCAACAACTGAGATGCCTTTAAATAGACATGATGAACCAGGACAAATGTTTGAAGCTTTTGAGATATCTCGTTTGAGGAAAGAAAGGCCAACCCTTGTATGTGAAAGTGACACTAAAGATGAAGATGAAGTTTTAGATGACACACTGGAAGAGTACTGCAGCGAGGAAGATGGAGGTGCCACAGTTGAAGTCGACAGCGATGACGAGTAGTTGTTTTTTTTTCTTGTTTTTATGTGTTGCCCTTGTGACATTCAAACAATATGCAGAGCTATGCTTGGAATGTAGGTGTGCACAATGTCTTGTGAACTTTTTCTGGCACTGCTATGATGGCCAGAAATCAAGTTGGTAGTGAACTATGTTTGAGTCCAGTTGTGAACTATATGGTTCTTGTGAACTGTAATATGTGATCTTGTGAACTGTGATATGTGAAAACTATGTATTTCAACACATATATGTCCTAGACCACATATATTTGCAAAAGTGTTGTTGAAACTTGAAACACCATATATATTTGCAATAGTGCACAATGTCATATTAACTTACAATCAGTAGGCACAGAGAACACACACAAGCACTACAACCATTACTCACTTCCTACCATCACTTCCAAATGAGGGCACAAAAGACACCAATAAGAAGACCTACAACCAATGTCGCCAGAACAGAAAAATCCACTACAATCTGCCACTTCCTATTCTCTACTTCCTTCCTATTCTCTACTTCCTGCATTGGCACACCTTTCCCATCTTCATGTTCCAAACTTCAACTACAAGACTGTCAACCATTTGCTTCAGTGTGTTCACTTCATGCCTCAAATCGGCGTCTCCTTCACCATACATTTGCATCAGTTTGGGTGGAGCCACAATGGTGGCCGCCTCTACCAATTGTTGGCGTCGCTTCACTGCCCAGACTGCATGCTGCTCCTCAGACCGGATGAATCTACAAGTAGTAGGATCATCCTACATTAAATCATAGCTGCGTCAAATACAAAGCAAGCCTCCATGATCAAGCTACCAATGCAAAGAATTTTTACCTTCACACTATAGGGGCACTTGATGAAGGTCTGATCCATGGCTAATGGCTGTTTGCTCTTGATCCGAACCAATGGGACGAAGCAATATGGGCAATCTAGGAGGTCGGACTGCTCCTCCATTCTACTAGCGCTCGCCGATGAGCTCGTTACAGTTGCAGCGCCCTTTATCTGACTTCTCTGAGCATCCTGCGTTGAGATGGATGCAGGTGTGGCCTCTGAGAGGGATGAGGGTGTGGCCGCCGAGATGGATGAGGAGCGGACGCCAAGATGGATGAGGGCGCCATAGTAGTGCTGCGCCGCCACCGCCGAATCACTGGTCTAGGGTTCGTGGAGAAGGGGGCGGGGAAGGAGATGGAATGGAGACTACGTCCACGCGCTAGGTCGCGGTCAGGGTCAAATGTCATCCACTACAGGTGGCTGACAGTGGGCCTAGGCGTCCACGCGTTGGGTCGTGGCCGGGGTCAAATGTCGTCCACTACAGATGGCTGACAGTGGGCCTAGGCCTCCACGTGTTGGGTTGTGGCCGGGGTCAAATGTCGTCCACTGCAGGTGGCTAACAGTGGGCCTGCAGTGTTAGTAGGAGCAAAAAAACTGGTTGCCAATGGCAAAAATTTTGCCTAGGGTCTCGAGCCGGAGACCTCAGGCTCCTGGGACTCGTTACATAACCAGTGCGCTATGTGTTCGTGAGTTCGAGAGGGAGACACAACAAATGGTTTAAAGGAATAGGAGCGCTACATAAATATAATATAAAAGGGCAAAACACCTAATCCCACCTGGGGATCGAACACTGGAGCTCCAGTGTCCCAAGGTCTAGACGTTACCAATGCGCCAAAGTAGTGAGCTCGTGAGAACTGCTGTTTTGATTAAAAAAGGATGAATGCCCCCCTTCGAATTCACTACATCCTTTCACATTCACCGCATCTGCCCATCCCCTTTACATTCACTCGCTCAGATTCACCTCTCCTCTTTCACCTTCCTCACTCAGATTCACCTCGCCCCGCCGCCACCGCCGCCGCCGCAGTAGCCGTACTAGATGACAAAGCCAGCAAGACGCCACTGCGTAAGGGACCCAGGAACTGGCAAGTTCGCCCCTTCCTCCTCGGCCTCGCCTGCGGCGAAGAAGGTGGCCGCGGCTGCGCCCAAGAAGATGGCTGCGCCTGCGGTGAAGAAGATGGCCGTGCCTGCGGCCAAGAAGATGGCCGCGACTATGGCGAAGAAGAAGGCTGCGCTTGCGGCGAAGAAGAAGGAGGCCGGTGGCAACAAGCCAATGGAGGAAGATTCATCGGCGAGCAGCAACATGCTTGTGATGTGCTGCGGCTGCTACAAAGGTAGAGCCATGTGTTAGAACTAGATTCACCATGGGGTGGAGTGCTTGCCTGCAACGCCGACTAGCTCCTCCAATCCTGAGTCAAGCTCCGTCCGTGATAGGGTAATTTCCATGAATAGGGTTTACTGTTTACCTGTTAACTGTGGATTGGGGATTATGGATTAGGGTTCCTGTTAATTGGGATGTTGTTAATTGTGTCAGAAGTATTTCTGTGATGATTAGGGTTCTTGTTCTGATGTAAATTGCTTTGTGATAATCTGCCCAGGCCAGATGCTGAATTTATGCCATATATAGAATGTTAATTGGGTCAGTAGTTAGTCTGTGATAATTTGGGTTCTTGTTGTGCTATAAATTGCCTTGTGATAATCTCCCCTGATGCTTAATTGGGTAAGAATGTTAATTAGTGCTTACCAGTGCCCTGAAATCAGTTCTTTCTTTTGTTTTGTCTAAGCTTTTGTGATAATTGTCTGGTAGGTACTCTGTCTGATTTGTTGTTGAGCTGTGTTGATGAGTTGGTGAGTAACTCTAGGATTTCTGTGTTTGTTTGACCATTAGCAGTAATTATATGTGATAATTCTTGTGATAATCCCTAGAAAATACCACTAGGTTTGTTTGTCCACTACAGTTCAGAACTGAGTTTGTTTGTCCACTACCATACTGCTAATAATTCTTCTTGCATATATCTAGGAGCAAGCTAAAAATATCCTCTATGAAGCACTGGAACACGTCGTTACTAAACCCATCCAAAAGAAGCTCTCCAATTTGGGTTGGTCTCTCGATGACTTGATAGGAAAGGTTGAAACGAAGAGCAAGAAATTCGAGAGGAAGCTGGATGCCTTTGGTGACCAGCTGGGCGTCGTGGTGAATACGCTCGACAAGGTGATGCAGAAGCTAGACAGCATGGCTCCAAAACCCAAGTGATGATGTGATATATAGCTATGGCAGCAGGGACTTTTGGTGATATATAGCTAAGGCAGGGATGACTTTTGGAAGCCCTAGTGGGCACTGATGATGTATTATGTATGCAGCTTGTGGTGATGCTGTATTATGGACACCAACTAATGTCAGTGATGATGTGGGGATGTATTATGATATGTATGGAAACCAAAATGGTTCTGGCTTGAAGTGCATCTATCTTTATATTATAAATCTATAATATTGTTGGTATGAATATATGTTTACTTTCTGTTTATATATGCCACAAAAGAGAGATGGATCGAACTGAGGGATAATATGGTATTCGTGGAGGCAATGACATGTGGGCCACAGGGAGGAAAATGCTTACAATTAACTTATACAAATTTAAAATTTACATCATTGTTGGGTAAATTCAGTCCTTTACATGATGAAACTAATTGACTAATACTGCCTCACAATTATAATTTGTTTGACTGAAATTTACATCATGTATGCAAATTTTTAAAAATTGGTGACAAAGGACAAGAGTTAGGGACAAATGACCAAATAAAAGTTTCAAATCTCGATGAGTCGTACAACTTTGTTGTTGCTCACTTTTTCATTTAAAATCATTTTACTATGTCAAAATTCTAATCGAATTTATCAAAATTTGAAATTCAAATTTTAAATTACCCAAACAAATTTGGATGAAGAAATGACCAAGACCAAAATTGTAGGTCTCAATGAGTTCTACAACTTTTTTATTTGGAATCATTTACCCTCCCAAAATTCTGTTCGAAGTTCTTATATATAGAAGTTCTCACAAATCATATGAACAAGCACAGTTTTTCTTTTTAATCTCTGCATAAAACTTGTAACTAGTCATTGTCCCTCGTACAAACTTCAAGTGAGATGATTTTTTACCTAAAAAATTCTAAAATCATGCTCTATCAAGTTCTTATGTTCTTACTGCTATTATTTTGACAATCTTTTCATGTGACAAAGTTTGAACAATTTATATTTTGAATTTTAAGAAATGACAACTACAAGCAAGATTTTGTAACACTAAATGATTTCAGCTGAAAAAGTCATGAATACCAAAGTTGTATAATTCATCAAGATCTACAACTATTATTTAGGTCATTTCTTCATTCGACAAAGTGATAATAACATTTGGTAACAATTTGACATATCTCTCATATAGTTTCATAAACTATGTGAGAGATTAAAGATTCGTGAAAACCATGTACAATGCCTAAGAGGACACCAACCCTATTTTTATGGACTATTAACCTACTCCAAAAATATCTTTGCTAGAGCTGCTCCCTTAACATTAACGAATAGGCTAGAGCTGCTCCCTTGCTAATACTCTTGTGTTCTTTGATTTGAATAGGCAAAGTTTGATATCGACATAAATTCTGCTCATGTTAAATTTGCTTATGCCCAAATGATGAAGAAAGCAGTTCGCCAACATCGCTATCATCTGAAGAGGATATACTTTAATCCTTTCCCGCTCCATTTGGTGAGAAAAACTTCTCTCAAAAGTATGACTGATACATAGTGGAATGAACTTGTCGAATCATGGCAACTACAAAAAAATGGTATGTTTTGTGCTAAAAGTTTGCCTCCTATATGCTAACTTAGACGCCTATTTAACATGGATCTTGTTCATGGTGTAAGAGAACTCTGAACTAAACAAAAGCAACCGAAGCATGGTCAAGTACCATCAAACAACTAGCTCACGCAGCTACATGGTGCATTTGGAAAATTTGGTAAGTTACTGCATCTTGCACATATGTTTTGAGAATTATGCTACATGGTTTCTATTAAAGATTTTAGAAGCACATGTAAGTTTCAATAGAAAGACAGAAATGTAGGATACAAATTGGATTGCTAACTAATGGGATGTGTAATTATGCCTAGTTAATGTGATGGCACTTTGCTTCTATATGATCTTTACGGTATTACATGTTATTGATGATCACATGCTCATGCAAGTTGCTTGTTTTTTTGACATTGAATTAAGTGTTGCATACATGTTAGTAATAGTGACCATTCTACAGGGAGAGAAATACAAAGACCAGGGACCTGATGCAGTGGATATGTTCAAGGAGTGCCACTACAGTAAAAAAGGCTACACATCAGATGTCTAGCTTGCTATTGTAAGTTAATTTTCAAAAAAAAAATCTCAGCCTTAATATTTGTTGATGTATCTCATGAACCATGTGTTTTTACTTGCACTACTAGGATCAAATGGAAAACAAGCTGTCCGGACTTGCAGAAGATGAAGAGGCCCCTTCCGTGACTGAGGTAGTTGCCCGTGTGCTTGCTGAGAACACCAAGAAAACCAGATTTCTGCAGAATGTGGGGATTCAGAGCAAAAAGAAAGGCACACTTAAAGAGCAACTAGCTGCAGAGAAGTTGGCAAAGGCTGCGCTCAAATCGCAAATGAAAGAGTTGTAGAAGAAGCTACAAGAATTTGAGCAAGCAACTTTGGCGGACAAACAGGAGATGGCAAGGAGCCAAGCTGAGACTAATGCAAAACTTGACCTTCTGTTAAGTCAGATTGGACACACCTAGCCAACTGAGTAAGATGGTTTGGGTCTCTTGGCAACATTGTTGCTTTTTTGTTGCATCAATTCTGTAACACCCTCGGTGTTACACCATAACAAACTACTGAACCATGTCATGAGGATCATGTTTATGTGAGAATGCATGTGATAAAGTGTGTAGATAAATTTCTTGTAACCTAAAATGACTAATAAAAATGCTAAATAAAAGTTGATTCAATAGCTCATGTATATCAAGTAGGGTTGAAAACCAATTTTTATTGAGCAAAAATACTATAGAACATATATGTGGCACCTAAATAAAGCTTGAAGTACAAACTTTGTAGATGGCAATGCAACCTTTGCTGTAGAAAAATAACACTGCTAGTTAGTGTTTCCAATAGCTTAGAAATGGAACTTGAAATCAAAACTAGCTTAAAGACTTAGAAAATTCTTAAGTTTAAAAATAGTTTGACAGCACCGGGTTTGCGAATTTATTCTGAGAAATCTAGTTAAAGAGGAGTACTATGTTTGTTCGTAGGGGTAGCCTAATATGCTCTCTTGAGCATGGTGAAGGTGGCTTGGTTCTAAGATCAATCGTTTAGTTTTTATGGGTGCTTTAAAATTCGTTCACACACTCAAGCTTAGGTCGTCAGGCCTGGGCGCATGGTCACCGCGCGTGGCCACACGCTGACCGGCCAGGGCCGCACTCGGTCTAGCTGTGGCTTGGCCACCCTTGGTCACAGCGCCTGCTGCTGGCCAAGCCAACCGCTGGCCATTGTGCCCGTTGACCACACTGCCCCATCCGCTGCTACACTGCTGCCACTGCGGCCCCACGTCCTCGCGTGCTACTGTCCTCCCTGCTTCGCACCGTGGCGTAGCTACTGCCGGTGCCATCGCCTCGCCATTGTGTCTGCACCCCCTCCCCTACACTTCTGCGCCGCTGCTGGCCCGGTCCGATGCCCGCCACTGCTGCGTGCATATGGCTATGCTCGTCGTCGTCTTGCCTTTTATGGCACTGCGGCCACATGGGCCGTACCTGGTCATGGACGCACGCGTTTTGTCTGTAGCGTTTGCGTGCGTGTCTCCTCAATCGCGTTGACTGTGTCCCACCAAGACGAGGCCGAGCTGAGCCCACCTACCTACCTCTCTCTCCCCCCTCTCTGCTACCATGGTCGAGCCGCGCCATTAAATTTGTCAGGGAGAGATCACCTTGAGTCGATCCGTCACATCACTGGCTCCATCATCAAGCTACCTAGGTACCCGTCCCCACCCCGCCTTGAATGGCGCTCGGTTGAGCTTCAATTTTGGAGTTTCCCCACCGCTGAGCCGTTAAGGCCATGTGTCGAACGTTGTGGGTGGCAACCCGCTCTAGTTGTCATTCGGGCTCAACTAGCTACACCAATAGCCTCATCTTGACTCCCTCTCCACCCTACGCATGCCAGTGGAACCTCTACCACCACCTCAATGCCGATGATGTGGCCATGTCCGCCACGTTGCGCCGCCGCACCGCTCGGTCGCGCATGGCTAGCCCGGCTCGGGTAGTCTTCGGCCGAACCATCACCTTGGTCAGGTTCATGGTGAGTCCCGGATGCTTACCCGCTACCCTATTGTTCCTTTAGCGTTGTGTTTCACCGGAACGCTGCCATCATTGCCATAGGTTGGCCGCCGTGGGGGAGCCACCCTACTTCATCTCCGGTCTCTGAATCGCTACCCATTGTTGCGCGCTCGCCCGTTGGTGAGCATCGGTCCTCTATATGGGTCGAGGGGGTCCCCAGTTGGCCAGCGATAGCGGCCTAGTGCTGGCCAATGCCGCGTCGGTGAGCGCGGAGGCGTCGGGGACCTCTCCGACACGAAGATGGGTTAATACGAGGGCCTTCTTGCATAAACGTTGTCTGTTGAAATAGTGCGCATAGTCATCGTGTTAATAGAGGATAGCGGGGTGCGTTTCTGCAAAAGCGCCATCGCGCTCGGGCTTCCACGCCGTGGGCCGCCTCGCAAGCACGGGCTGCGTCGCTTGGGCCGCGCATATGTAGGCCACACAATGAAATCATCTTTCTTTTTTTTCTAAATGAAATAGTTATTGCTTTTCTAATTAGTTTCTGAGCTAAACTTATATATTTAATATAAATTCGTGTAGATGTCTAAAAATTATGAAACTAATTTTGTTAGGTTCCTAAAATCATTGTCTACCTAATAGTGTAGTTAGTTCATACATATCTATGTTGATGCTAAGGCCTATCAAATCATTTGAAAGTACATAATATTAGTAGGGTAAATATTATAGGATTTTTTTGGTAAATTGGTGATAGCTTTAATCCTAAATTTTTTATTGTAGCTTCATTGTATTATTATGTGCTTACTATAATTTTTGTAGCCTTAGAATAGACCAAACATTAGGGTAGTTAAATGCTCTTTGTTTCAATATACATTAAATCATTAGTAGAAATAAAGATATATCCTTAATTTGTAAAGCTAGGTGTTTGTTAGTTGAACCCAACACTTTGCTTGATGAAGATGATAGTTAGCTTAGTACCTTAGTCATTAGAGCTAGCTTAGTAGCCTAGTATGCGTATCCTTATTTTAAGAGTTGCTGTTGCCTAAATGCTAAGTGTTGCATCATCATTGCATGCATGTAGAGAACGAGTTGGCAGAGATCGTGACCACCGGCGATCATGAGTTCTAGGAGATCATCGAGGAGTATGAGGAGGAGATTCTCGTGCATGAGGAGGTCCTAGAGCCGCCACTGACTGACTCAGCTGACAGCGCGTCTGCCCAAGGCAAGCCCCGATGCATAACCCCTTGTTTTTTATAATCACTGTATATATATGTTATGTGCATTTATGTTACAGGAATTTTACGAAAACCACATGCATAGATATATCTACCTATGAGTCCTACTAGTACAGGTTCGAGTAGCTGCTATGCTTAGGTTTTCGGTAGCGTGAGTAACCTGCCGTTACTCACAATAGGTGATTATTATAATTAGTCTCATGATAAAAATGATGAAAGGGAAATGGAGACCGATAGGGATATGGTATGGGTATTGGTGGGTGTGACGAGTTGTGTCCCGCAGCTATGAGGCATGGCTTGGTTACATTGTTTTCTCTGTCCATGTCGATTGAGGACCGTCCGTTGATGTGGATGGTAGTCAGGTCATAGACTTATTATCCTAAGCACATACTTGCTTATGGGAGCGAGAAGGCTCGTTACGCTCTTGTCTTGGGTTCTAGTTCTTTCTAGACCGACTGATTGGAGGCGCAGAAAGGTGGAGGTCTAAGCACCATATAGAGACCGGGTCTCAAGTGTGGGGGCTTGGAGTCTAAGTTTGGACGGGGACCTGGACCCCATGATAGGAGTGGAATGGGTTAGTCTTGTTTGTGCCTGGGATACAAACGGGGCATGTGTTTCGGGGTACCCAACTAGGATACATTGGTTCATGAATAGCCGTTTCCATACGACTGTACGACTTGGCTATGGTCTAGCACCATAGTAAGAACTTGAATATGAAAGATGGTAAATTAGTTCTGATTGCTCAACCCTTGCTTGAAAGTAGAACAGGTGCTTACCTAGAATGGTTAGTTAATGAAGTAATCATGACTGCTAATTAAACTTGATCTTAAGGACGTACTTCTAGTAATGTTTTTCGCAAACAAAAAGAAAACATCAAACCCATACTGCCTATCATACCCCTTGGAGTTGGGAAACTATTCTCACTAGTCGGGTAAGTCTTACGAGTACATTGTGTACTCAGGGTTTATTTTACCCAGTTGCAGGCGTAGCTTGAGGAGTAGCGCTTGTGTAGAGGATTCTTCTGGTGGGCATAGACGGATCCTTATATTATTTCCGCTAGATGTTTATTTTCATTCCGCTATTTAATTATCACACTCTAAACCCTGATATTGGAATAAATAATTCCTAAGAACTCATTATTGGATTCTGGAGGTAAAACGTGGATTGATTCAAGTTCTCCTGTGGGTGTGTGCTCGATGGAACTGTCCAATGTACCTAACTTTCGGGGTGCTTAGTGTCTAGTGGAAGACGAGCACCTCCAGAAGCGTGTTATTTTGGGCAGTTCTACCACAATTTCTGCTGCTACTGCTGCTTGGCTATGGTGCTATAGTGGGCAAAGTGCCATTTCTGCTCTTGCTATTGCTGAGCTAGTTATTAGCTCCTTTTGTTGTGATGAAAACTTTGATGCTGGAGTGGCCAATGCTTTGGACATGTGCTGGATTGGCTATTAATTACTGTCATGTGCTTGTGGACAGGTCTTAATTATGTTGTATGAGATGTGATGACAGTTGTAATTTGGTGATCTAGAATATTTGTCTGATAAGAGCATGTGTTAAGTAATGATGATGAGAACATTTGTCAATCAGTGATGATGTGAACTAGTGTTAATTAATGATAATTGGTAATTAATTTTGCTAAAATTATGGATGAAATATTTGTATTTTGCTAAATCTAGCAGCAGCCCAATTTGAGCTGGGCTGAAATCTAGAAGCAGCCCAATTTGAACTAAAAGGCCAAAAAAACTCCACTCAAAAAAACTAAAAGGCCGAAAAAAGGCCCCAAAAAAATCATGTCGGCCCAAAACAATTATGGGCTGAAAGCTCCTAGAAACCCGAATTGGGCCACAAAACACCTAGGCTAAATCCTATGTGGCACCGATGATACGTCAACGTACACCTTGGCGAACACATGGCTGCTTACATGGCAACTCAAATCTATGCCAGCAAAAAATCCTACGTGGTAGCTATCTATGACGGAAAATTTCGTCACAGGTTACCAGTCTCAGCCCGGCCCAGAGTCGGCTGAGTGGACTTCTAGGGCATCCATGACGGTTGAAATCCGTCACAGATGGCTCGTAGTCAATTTGTGACGCTCGATACATGATAGAAAACAAAATCCATC